ACTCAGCCATAAAAATGAATGAAATCTTATGATTTGTGACAACATGAATAGACCTAAAGGGTATTATGCCAAGTAAAATAAGTCAGACCAAGAAAGACAAATATTGTATCATTTCAGTTATATGTGGAATCTAAAAAACAAACGAACAAACATAGCAAAACAGAAATAGAGTCATAGATAAAGAGAACAAACTATAGCTATATGTACCAACCCAGATGAATTTCCTGGGAATTAGGCTGAGTAGAAAAAGCTAATCCCAAAATGTTAACACTATATGATGCCATTTATATAGCATTCTTTCAATAACAAAATTATAGAATTTGGGGATGTTTGGTTCTCTTTAGTTTACTGTGTATCTCATATATAAACACTGTATTAGAATTAAATTACCAAAGAACCCTCTAACAATTAGAAGTCTCCAACAATAATAACAGTAATATTGCACTGAACACAGTTTATTTTAGATTCAGCATCTTGTAGCTTCTGAGGACCATCTTCAAAAAAGTATTTCTTATTGTGAAATGAACAACTGCCAATTTATATAAATTTCTTATCTGCAGAAATCTGGATCAAAGAAAAACATTTTTTAGCAATTCATGGAAAATTATACTAACTAGGACATTAAATCATTTATGAACATTAAATACAAGATTAATGTTGAGAGATTTCTAAAAACTTGGAGTATTCAAATTGCCATTTGATATATTCGTTTTTCAAAATACTTCTTTGGTTAAACCCAGAGGAATATTTTTTATAAGCTAATATCTCAATTATTCTGTGTTTATAAAAGTTGTTGTAGAGCAGATTCAGGCTTTCTTCACATCTAGACCAGCTAATAAATCTTTACCTAGGATTTGCACCCCGAGTCAGGCCTAGGCTCTCTCCTGGCCCACTGACTCTGCTAATTTATACTGACTTCTCTGCTTCCACAACCCAACATTTTGTCAGTCCTAGTTAAGAGAGCCAAGCTAATTTCAGGTTAAATTTTAGAAAGAAACAGATTTTTTTTTTTCTCAACACTAAGCTATTTGTGGGACAGAAAACAACAAAATAACAATAAAACTAATTTTTAGATTCTGCATGTTTCAAATGGTAAATAAAACATGTTTGCAAGGCAAGTATCTTCCAAGGCACTACTTGAGTAGGTTTTGCTTCCTATTGGCCTGCAGGCTTATACATCTGTGTGTTACCTCTGCCTATTGGTCTCCAACCCCTCAGAATGAATTTTTATAATCACGGGGATCAAACATGGACCTGTATGATCCTTAAAGATAAGTGCAAGGGTCCAGATTAGAAGCAGAGTGAAAGAGAATATTCATTCCTAAAGCATTTTGTGTCAGAAATAAATGTGGAAACAAAAAGTAGAAAATCAAGAGTTGGGTAGAGCTGTGGGTGGGCATGTTGGAGAGCAAGCATTGTACACAATTACTCTGTGGATTTTGCTGTTTTCCTGCAGTAACTTTCCAAGTACTTTTTAAATTTTTAAAAAATAATCCCAGGGTTAGTTTTGATGACCTGGAAGGCCACCAGCTACCTATGTGGTATGACTTACTCCCAAATACCTCCCTCATGAAAAGACCAGAAATTTCCACATTGGAAGTGCATTCCTTTGAGCCTCTGGAGTTCCTGATCTATGAAATGCTGCATCTTAAGTCCTTTTTCTGCAGTCAGCGGGCTATAAACTATAAATAAAGAAAGAAGGAAATGTTAAGAAACAAATACCTCTGGGACTCATAACAGTGTAGCCCTTTAGCCTTGATTTGCTAAGTTCAAGGCCCTGAACATTTCACCTCAAGTAGGGCTGAGTCTGAGGCCTTAAAAAACTGGAAGGAGAGATGGGAGAGGCCAAAAGAAAGGCTCTTCTTCCTTCCATTGTTACTGGGAACAGCAGCAGCTGTTGCTGTTGTTGCATACTGCCCCAGCTCCCCCAATCTGGAGGATGATGTTAAAGTAAATGAGCTGATTTTACCAGTTTGTGGCTCTTAATAGCTCCAGTAACAAGAAGGAAACTTCTAGGCTTTTCTACCAAAAACCACTGTTTCTATATACCCTTAAACAAAGTAAAGCCCATGGGTGAAAGAAGAGCCTCTTTATTAGATAAAATCTGAAGGGACAAAAAAATTAAATTTTGATTTCTTATTGATATGTGCGTATATATTTGATTTAATCAAATTGGCTTTTTGTTTAAAATTATATTACTTAAAATTATAAAAATCATAAATGCCTAATTAAAATTTAATAAGTGTTATTAGAAAGAAACTTGGGGAGAGGAAAAAAATGTTTTCAAGGAACTCCAATTCTATCATCTAACACTATCAACTACTGATATTTAAAACAGAAACTGTGAAATTTAATTTTAATTGATTATAACCAAAAGAAAATCAACTACAGTGCAATTGGAAGAATTAAACAGGCAATATCTTTTTTTGTTTACTGGAATAGAGTTAATTTACAACGTTGTGCTACTTTCTGCTATACAGCACAGTGAATCAGTTATATATATGTGCGTGTGTGTGTGTGTGTAAAAAGCACTCTTTTTTTCAACTTTTTTCTCATATAGATCATTATAGAGTATTGAGTAGAGTTCCTTATGTTTTACAATATGTCCTTATTAGTTATCTATTTTATATGTAGTAGTGTGTATATATCAACCCCAATCTCCCAATTTTTCCCTCTCCCACTTTCCACCCCTGGTAACCATAAGACTGTTTTCTACACCTGTAAATCTATTTCATAACAAACTGGAAAATCCTGAAAGAGATGGGAATACCAGACCACTTGACCTGCCTCTTGAGAAATCTGTATGCAGGTCAGGAAGCAACATTTAGAACTGGACATGGAAAAACAGACTGGTTCCAAATCAGGAAAGGAGTATGTCAAGGCTGTGTATTGTCACCCTGCTTCTTTAAATTATA